GTGTTCAATTCAGTGATATTACAGTTGATTGAGTGCCTACAGCCCAGATGCCAGCAGATGGCCTCACTAAGGCTCTGCCATGCCAGAAACATACAGAATTTGTCAAGATGCTAGGACTAGTTGATATATCAGATATCATCAAGGCACAAGCAGAATAAATGATCTATCTTGATATAATCTCTACAGATTCATCTACACTCTTTTTGTTGCAGCTTCATTTACACTTTCATTTACACTTTCATTTACATGTTACATTCGCTGAAGGGGGTGTGTCAGGAAAAAGAGGTTATACACTACTGAACATCACCAACATCATATTACTACAATATTTCTCATCATCATCAGCTTACTACAACACTTGTCTAATACTTGCTTATGCTAGCTCTCTTGGCTCGCACATATATTTTACTATAAATAGCTCTATCTTTTGTATGAAATAGATATAGGAGATAGTGTACAGATAATATAACAAGCAGATCTTGATACAAATAAGATTCATATGTCTCCAACATATTCATCTGTGACACCCAATCCGACACAGTCCATAGCCTAGAACTTGGCGGACTTCGCGTGAGGAACAATAACGAATGCACTGGCTACCGATCTTTGGCGGGCAGGTATGAGAGTGTGTAAGTTAGCTGGGTGTCTGGCGCATCCTTTTCGTTCGCCCAGGCCCTATGGGGGGCAGGATATCAATTCTGGCCCTTCAAGTAAACTTCCAAGAAGGATTGCAAAGCAAAACCAGGAGAAATGATACCGTATTATGATGAGGTTCCAGAGTGTGGGAAGTAACTAATAAAAAAATGACACCCCTAAGCGCCTCGATCGAGTAGGAAAGCCATAAAAGTAGCGTCCATATTTATTCGGGGCCGACCCCAATCATGCACCTTTGTAGCATTATCTGTTTCATGTCTGCTTCACGATGTTGGCGTTGACGGTGCTGGTTGGCTGGGCTAGGGCAGAAGCAGCGTTTGCGCCAGAGTCTATGTTCAAACCATGTGTAACGGGCAATGCAAGGCGGCATACTTTGCAGCTCAACCCAGTTCAGGAGAGTAATCTGAGCAGTAATAACGTAGAACAATTAAATCATACAAATTAGAAGCCCTCACTCAATGCTTACATTTGTGCATAGGATTAATAAAGTTCAAGTACCAGCCAGGCAGGCTACCATCAGATATCGATTGATTCTGAGAGATGAGTAAAAAAAGATAAAAGTAAAAGAAAGCAAATGCTCTAAGATCCACGCCAACTGGTGTGCAGGTAAATGTATAATATATATTGATTTTTTCGGTCTTATATTCTAATCCAAAGTCACATCATTCCAGGCCATTTTAACCGTACTGGCGAGTGTTCCAACAATAGGGGGAGAGGAACGCGGCCACCCCTTGTTCTACAGGCCACTTGTACCAAAAATAAAGCTTCGCCCTGGTAGCCCATAGTCGCTATCTACTTTTCCAGAGCTGCCGGTGCTTTGTGCCCCAAAACAAGGAAAAAGAGCGGAAGTGGATACGAGGAGTAATTCTATCCCGCCCATCCCAGAGCTTCCAGCTCTTTCCGCACCCCATCCTCAGTCCGGATTTTTTTCATCTGCGTATCCTCTAGCTTCTCCCCGCCCGCCACGCGCATCTTCAGCTCTTCAATAGCGCGGATCTTCTTCAGAAGCCCGCGGATCTTTTTATCTTGGATCGTACCACCACTAGGAGTCATTGGAGACGTGACAGTCACGTCTGGTGGTGCTGGTGCCGATGTGCTGTTGGGTGCTGGGGCACGAGTGTTAACACTAGGGCGATTATGGTTTCCAGGCCCCGTGGCAGGAGCGCCGTTGGTGCGGTTTTGATGATCGCTGCGCTGTCTACGATGGGAGCTGCGGCTCCGGTCGCGGTTCTGGCGGTTAAAGCTGTTGGGATCGAGCGTCTGAGAAACAGTATTTCCTCGAGATCGACTGCGTGAGTGACCTCTTCGCTCCCGACGGTCAGCGCTGGGTCCAGTTGAGATACCTGAATCTGCGCCAGCATCGGCCGCCAGATTACCGGCCTTTTCCGCCATTTCCCTTGCCTTCTTTGCTTCGCGCTTTTTCTTGTTCTTCGCGGCGGCTTTTGAGAGTTTCTCATCCCCTTCAGCTCCAGGGGGGAGTGTTACCCCGCCTCCCGGAGCGGCGCCAGGTGGAAGATACTCCGCAACGGGCTCTGCGCCTGGAACGACGCGCCGTCTGGGCTTACCAAATCCATTTGGGCCATTGCCGCTGAGCGTAGATGATGATTCATCCCTGACAAATTTCTCCCCTCCTTCATCTTCTCGTCTAAATGCTAGCGGAGTGGTTTGTCCGCGGGCACCGGGCGGTCGATATGCCCCGGCTGGTTTCGAAGGCGCTTTCTTGGTAGCTAGATATGCTAGCGCAGAGGGGTGCGGAGTGGGCATTGGGTGGAGTGGGTTTTCCGGTGGGTGAACCGTCGCAGATTGGGGTCTCCAGCAGACTTGGTACAACTCAGTCAAATCCTCGTTGTACATTAGCCCTCCTCCGACATGCCAAATGCGTACTCCGTTATCGACTCGGAGTCTCGGACTCGTAGTGGCAGTCAAAATGAATTTGCCATCAGGACTCCACTCGCACACGCTGGCGTTGGATGCCTCGATCGTAGCTATTTTCGTATAATCCTTGTCCAGATCATAGATGTCCATTTGCCCAGCAAGATTGCCAAAACCGGCAACAACCACGAATCTTCCATTAGGGGAGAAAATTATGGTGTTTCTAGGCGCGAGGGCAAACGAGTGCGTTGCGACAGCGCGATTGTTGAAAATGGTGGTTTTGGCAGGCATATATCCATAAACAACACCGAATTCTTTCGAGTTCGGGGACCAGGTCACATCATGAATGGGTCCTTCCTTGTCTATATACTGCAAGTTAGCCAACAAGATATGTCAGTGTAAACAAAATGGGTTACGTTGTCCTACCAAGGTCGATTCTTGAATCGAACCCTCCATTAGCGCTCAGGAGATAGAGGGTAGTTTCTCCGTAGTAGCTTTTGCCGGTTTTGTCGACATCCGTTTGCGCAAGAACGATAAGTGTCGTGCCAGTGTTGTTCCACTTCAACTGGACTTTATCTCCCTTGAAAAAGTTCTTCTGTGAAACAGGAGAGTTGAATTGCGGCATATTGAAAATCCTCACGGATGCCGGCAGCCCCTAGACCATTGAAGATGGGGTTAGGCCAAGGCAACGAAAAAAAAAAAAAAAAAAAGCAGAAATGTATATCAACTCCGACTAACCTTTCGCTCTGGAATGAAAACCGCAATTGAGTTGTTTTTTCCCGGAGAGAGCGCAAAATCCACTACCCCTTCCACCCGCAGCTTATTCCACACCTTCCCTAAGTTTCCGCTTTCGTAGAATTGAACCTCGTTGGTGACGACTCTGGCGCAATACTTCTCATCAGGTGTATATTGAAGATTCCAACCAGTCTGGGATTTCTGCACGTAGCTTCCGATGAATGAATGCTCATGTTTATTACCCTCATCGGAAAGGGCGTTTTCAACGACCCTCCAGACCTTCAAATTTTTGACGGCATCGCCGTTCTCGTCCTTCGAAGGTCGTTGCCAAGTAATAATATATGTGCCAAGGGGTGAAAAGCCCAATTCATAGACATTATCGGCCGGGAGGGTAGTAATGACGTGGCCAACAGAGGCATCGACAATTACAACACTGTTGCAGAAAGTTATTTTTAGTCAAAGAAGGAAAAGAAAAAAGTCACACGTGGTGAGGAAGACTATGCACATACCCTTCTGGAGCCGCCCAGGCAAAATATCGACCGCATGGAGAGTAAGCGCAGCAGCGCAAGTTACCATCCGGCCTATACGAATAAACCAAATTAGCACCAGTTTAATTTTCATACCCGTAAGAGCCAGCCATTAAATACCTCGTAAACCCGGGTAAGGACTCATAGACTGGAGCTGCATCCACGATGGAAATACCCTTCTGCGTTCGATCTACGAGGATGTAAGTATCACTTTCTCAACATGCACTATGTACGCACAATGAGGGTGCACAACTCTAGGAGCTATAGGCTTCTTAAATAAAGCGGGCAAAATACTCACACGCATACTGATTTGGAGCTGCCATGGCTACTCAAAGCCACAGTTCAAAAGAGAGCTAGAGAGCTGAGATGAAGAGTGGAGAGCAGGGCCAATGAAAAGGAAAATGGCAATGTAAAAGGTCAAGATTTTGGACCTCTAAACTGCTATGCAGTATGCAGCGTTTTAATTGATCGTGTGGCAAGGACAACGAGTTTTCCCGATTCCGTAGTTTCGAAATTTGGTACGTCACCTTTCCGCTGTGTATCTTTGTGTATCTGATATACGCAGGGCGGTGGATGGAACACGGACAATATGCCAATATCCCCAAGCTAGTAGAACAGAAGAGATTTATCTGTATCTGGTCCTGTCACTTCCTTGCTCTTCGTTTTTCTTTTGCGTTTTCTTTATCCTTTGCTTCTACCGAGCTTGACAAGTAAATGCCAGCCAGTGCTTGAAACAAAATGATGTTGGTTGTGCGAACGCAGGAGATCAGCTAAGCTATCGTCTGTAGCTGGGCAGGGCTGTTGAGCAGCGGTTGAGCGATACGGAGACAGTAATCCCAAGGATCACCGGAGAAGGGCGGGCGGAGGGCGAGGGGGGAGAGGGGCGGGCGAGGTGGAAGAGAACAAGAACAAGAAAAGAAGAAGAAGAAGAAGAAAGGAAGAACAGTCGAAACCTCAATTTTTCTCGAGTTTTCGATGATGTGGGCTGAAGGCGGAGTAGGTAAGCAGATCGCAGGGCGCGCTAAGCCCTGTTGGGGAGGTATATGTGGCGGTGCAGTTGGTAGGGCGTGTGGCTGAGTGCGGCTGAGTGCGGCTCTGGATCCTGCAGACGGTTTTGAGCCTCCAGACTAAAAAGGAATATGAAGCGCTAATAAATATATTTCGATATAACAGATTAACTACCTACTTCTACTTCTACGCAATAGTTGTACGAAAAAGTATACAAACCACATCATTTGAATATATATATATATCAACCCACTAGGTCCAGGGCCTTGATTATCACACATCCAAGAAGGAGTTTAGAGTCAGCGGATTTCGTTTCACAGTCCACATTGTCCATTGTCATGCCTGACTAGCGGACTTGAGAAATGTCAAAACAGATGAGCTGAATCAAGATACAAAAGAAAACTCGTTGGAATTTGGGCTCTCTAGAAGGCAGCGAAATCCTTTGAGCTCACCAGAAATGTAGTTTAAGGTTGCTTTCTCTGCTGTTCCCATTGTTACCATAACGTGGCCCTCTTGCTTGGAGTGTCTCTCAATTCATAGGGCTAAACAAGTTTTACCTTGGATTGGCAAGGAAATATATCTATTATGTTAGGATCTAGAAATCCTAGTGCACTATTGCTAAGTTAATGAATGTGGTCGGCATGCAGTCTACGACGTCGTTGGGTTGAAGATTCTCTAATTGCCCGTGCAATATCAAAACGAACCACAGCAACCTTCCCTTCGATGTTACTGGACTTCAAAGTGAGAATATACAGCCTCCACAGCACAGGGAACCCTGAGCTGGTCTGATCACAGTTAAACCCATGCTCCTTCAGCCACTTCGCTGCAACTAGCAAGCTGAACTGTCAGCTTTATCTAACAGACTGCTCAAACCTTCATCATATCAATCACCCTTCTCTTCTTAATTACTGCTCATCAGATACACCAGCTTTACTTTCATCATCACAGGCAACATAACATCTACTGAATACACCGCTAGCCTCAAGGAGCTTCGATTTCCTCCCCATATCAAAATGGCAGAAGCCGCTCCTCCAAAGCGAGACGCTGACGTCCGTGTGCTGCCTCTACCTGAGCCGTCAATCGACCATTCTCCTCACCTATGGAAGTATGTTCCACACCTCTTCAACTCCCCTCAAGTGTTTGCCCTTTTTGTCCTTGTTACTAAGCGTCGCAAATATAGGTTCACCTCGACTGATCTCCTACAGATCTACGTCGGCTCGCAGAGTGGGGTGCAGCGTATTTTCAATGTCCACGAGGGACTGCTCAAGTCCCAATCTCTCTTCTTTCGCGGCATGCTGCGCAACAACTTTCCCGAAACTAGAGATCGTGTGATCAGACTTCCAGACGACGACGTCAGGACCTTCGCTGTGTTTCTTCAGTGGCTGTACACCGGGAAATCTCATGACGGAGAAATCTCCGGTAGTAACATCGATCTTTCGCAGCCTGAAACTGAATTGCCCTGTAAGTATTCGAGAAAGTTTCTAGGTCGGAAGGGGTATATTTGTCTGTGCATTTTGGGATAAATAGGGCGATGATCAGTAACGGCTTCTCTGTTAGTGACGGACTTGCGCACGGAGCAGTTCAAACGCCACGAAGCACATCTGCTCGAACCCAAAAAGAAAGGAGCATCCAGCAGCGTGCGCCTACTATTCTCATCCTATATCTTCGCGGACAAAATCCAAGCCCCCTGGTTCAAAAACCACATCCACAACCAACTCATCGCTGGTGTAACTAGCGTTCCATGTCCTTTGCTCACCGTAGGTGATATTCGCTACGTCTACGCAAATACACAAGACGGCGAAGAAGAGGATAGCCTACTTCGACTCTGTTGCCTAGCAATATCATGTGGACCGAACCTGGATTCTCTCCTGGAGGATCCTGAGTTTTTGGAGCTCTGTTTTGAGGTTAAGTCGTTTGGGGTGCGGGTATTGAAACGTTGCAGGACGCGGATCACCGCACCAGCGGCAGCACCAAAGCCGAAGGGACGAAAGCGCGGCTAATTTAAGTTCTAGTCTTTCTTCTTTGCTTTGAACTTCTTTCTATTTTTCGTTTTTGTTATATGGTTACTTTCATCCTTGACGGCTAGATCATGCCACCTCCCGCTGGCTAGGCCTAGTTACAAGGGTGTGAAATGTGCTAGATTTCTTGAAATCTGAGCTATTTTCGGGATTTTTTCGCGAATTCACCGGGCGATGGAGGGGCTCGAACTGATTTGTTGTGGGCGGCCGTATAACGATAACAGGAAATTCAAAGCGCTTCGAAAAGTTGGGAGCATCTTCGATTCATAAACACAATGTGAAGTAACCTGGAGAAATAAAATCAACTTGGCATTTACTTCGTAACTATTAATAATCCAAATATGAGCATTGTACTGTTAATTCACTAATAATATAGAACGAAATTGCTGCGCGCGTTCAGTTAAGAACAGATGACGTCGTCTGCGCCGCTAAAAAAGAAGTAAAAAAAAAGACCTTCGAATCTCATCTTCCCAACTCCACATCTTACTACGTATTGTCCCCCTCGCCTCGTCCAGTCATAATAAACTCACGATTTGCCTCCGTCAGTTATTTGGCTCGAACCTTCTTCTCAAAGTGGGGGAGGAGGAATCTGTGGGACATCATATCCGCTGCCCGGCTTAGATCGCGCCTGGTCCAAGTTGCGCTTGAATCATAGTTTACTGAACGATTTTAAGAACTTCTTGCTGTATAAATAGTTAAACCTCTCCGGGACCTGTTTGTTGTTCACCGGCATATTCGCATATTTAGTTCATAACTACCTACTCGCAACCCCTGAAACGCCCAAGCCTTATATAGTCTGGAGCCTTTACTCGCCTCACGATTCAGCGAGCTGCGGATCTAATTCACATGGGACAGAGACTTTAACGCATATCCAACCTGGTCGTTTCGATTCTAGGCCTTAACTCTATACGACCCGGACTAAGGGAGCCTGAGCATCCAGAGTCAAAAAAAAGTAACAAAGAAGATTAGTTCTGTTTGAGAATCGAGCGAAAGGCGCATTTGTCGCGGAACGGGAATCGGTCGCACTCCGATTTCGCAGCAGCTAAGCTCCGTTTCCTCAACCCGTTTACATCATCAGTTCTACTTTTCTTTTTATCCCTTAATTGCGCTTTCGTTCTTGCGACTCGTTTCTCTTTCTCATTCTCAGAGGTCAAGAACGCTTTTACACATATCAAAAATGACGACACCTACGTTGATCGATCTTCCTCCGCCACCTTCTGACCCCGTAACACCGTCACCGTCAGACATGGGCCCGTAAGAAACACCCCCCCCCCCCCCCTTCCAACCTAACATTGCACTTTATCTGGTTATTTCTATGAGATTAAAGGTCTTGCTGACAATTACATTCTTTAACCAGTGGCACACCCAATTCTGGCACAACATCACTCTCCGCGCTCTCAACCATAGCCATCAAGGATGGCCACCAAGGCAGCCGCTACCACACCCGCCATGGCCATCGATCATCAAACGCTTCCGAAACGTCCACAACAACACTGGATGCAGAACGCGCAGATCGTATCTCACGCTTAGCAGGCCTGGAGCGCGTAGCCACGAGACCCAACGGAGCCGGGACGACCCCTTCAGCCAACACGCATGGGCTGCCAGGTGGATTCACCATTCAACAAACCCCAGGCTACTTCGACCATCTGCAACAACCTTACCTAAAAGAACGAAGCACAGTCGGCAGCGCCAGCGCCACGGGCTCCGTCGGCGGCCGCACAACCTGGGCCAGCGGCAGCGACAACCTGGACCAAGACAGACTAGGTGACGACGACGGTGTCTCCAGCTTAGGCGGACTCAGCGACGAAGGAAACTCCAGCCTTGTCGGTTTCGGTGAGGGCGCAAGCAGCACCGTAAGCGGACCCGTTTCAACCTCCGCAGCTCGAATTTCCGTCGCTTCCAGCAACCGCGGGGTCGGTGGGAGGAATAGCCCTGCGCCTAACTATCGGCCACAAACAGGCAGCGGACATACCTCGTATACACAGTCAAGCCTTGGAGCAGCGGAGAATGGCCCTTTCAACTCATCAACCTCGCCGGCGGGATCTACTACCCCCGAGCCACAGCTAGTGGCCAACAACGACAACGCGGAGACGAATTTTGACGCGCGAATGGTCGACGGCATGACGTACGACGAGGACATTGTGGATACGACAGCTCGATGGTCGACGGCATGACGTACGACGAGGACATTGTGGATACGACAGCTCGACCTCCGGGTCGTGTAGATCTCGATGGTGATGCTCGTTAAGTTCAGAAATGTCATTCGGGATAAAAAAATATGAAAAAACTAAAGTTGAAAGAATGGAAGGAAAAGCAAGCGACTCACGAACAAATGATGGAATGAAAGACGATGTACGAATGAGTAAAATTTTTGTTTTTATTCTTGTTTCAAGGGAATTTTATGTGTGTATTTTTTCATCTGATTTCCAAATTGCTTTTAAAGCTATCAAATTTCGTTCTCGGACGAGGATATGGGGGTGGGAACAAGAAAGGGGAGCTGTTATTATTTTTTGACTCCGATTCTTTTGCTACTTTTGTTCTCAAGGTAGTGTCGTTTTTCTTCTTCGCATCCCTGATCATTTTTTTTCTGTCTCTTTTCCTTTCTTGTATTTTGTCTTTTCTTTCTCCAAGTCTTGCCTTTGTAACATTGGGCCTTGATATCTGATGGTTGCTACTGTAAAGTTACCCCTTGGATTGAAACAAAGCAGACATCCATGGATATATTTTGGTTTTGTTTTTAACTTTTGCTCGGCTTCTCAAATTTTGGTATTTTGTAGAGGATTGTTAACTACTGTGCAAAGAGGTGGTCAGGAAAAATCTCTCCACATGCCTTAAAATGTGGGAAAAGGGGGGCTTCTATGCATTGTGGTGTCATCTATTTGCATGGAAAAATCCAACACATTCATTTATTTATCAATGTTCACTGCAATAGTTACCTAACTCAATTACAGAATTTCTTTTCTCTTCATTACATTTTCACTCCAGCCTGCTAATCCACAGTTAGGTCTAGGTAGGATACTGATAAACCGCTATTTTGAATTGGAAGAATTGCTCATATCCTTTGAACGATTTAAATTAAATAGATATACCGGGAATAAATTAAACCCTTCTGGAATATCCAAATTCTAAGAAATAAAAGAATAAAAAAAAGTAATTGAATCATGCCCCTCAAAATTCAACAATCTACCCAGAGCAACGCATGGTCCGTTGGAATGTCGGTACCAGGTGAGATAATACATTCTACTCATCCATCAGTACTTATTTGCACGGCAAAGCTTGCTCCCACTCGTCTCTTTCCAACATATAACTTGCCCCATAACCATACAATGGATCATTCGAAATAATTAACATACACCACCACCCGCCTCTAGGGAAGAGAGAACCTAGATAGCTCATACTATAACAAGGGCACTGCATTCCCAGATGATGAAAGACAGACATTCAAGCTCCATGGCCTGCTGCCGTCCAATGTCCAAACGCTGGACGAACGCGGTAGAGAGAGCGTATGCGCATATATGCGAGCCGGCCGGATGACCTGGCGAACAACACGTTTATGGCGAGCATGAAAGGCGCAGAATGAGGTGTTGTTTTATAATGTCTGTCTGTCTGTCTATCTGTTCCTTTATACCAGGCCCGGATACAACTATACAAGAAGTCAGTACCCCAATCAGTACCCCAATATTCTTGCCGGGGGGGGTGGGGGAGGGGGAATAGAACAAAAATACCGCCTGCTGTATCTTTTCGAATCAGATGTGACTAATTCTAATTCAAATTCAAGTAGCTCATGCAAACACACCTCAAGGAGATGTTCAGCGTAATCTACACGCCAACAGAAGCTGAAGCAATTGAGATTTAGTCAAGAACCTTCAGACCGCCGGAGGGCTGTTTTCTGAATATCCGCGACCAGGATCGGATTGACGAGTGTCTTGCCAACCTTGCCAACTTCGGGGCCAGTGGGGAGGAGATAGATTGCATCGTCATCACCGACGGCGAAAGAGGCCTCATGGTCCGATATCATGATGCCTAAAAGCTTTCCGCGGCATCATCGGTTCCCTCCCCCCCCTCCCCCACAGCTTTTTTCCTTAACTCATGTGTTTGTCCGTAAAAGATTCTAGGAATAGGCGATCAAGGCGATCAAGGCGAACAGCGGGATCTTGATTTCCCTGGCCAAGCTGGTCCTCACGGCGCTATGGGCACGCGGCAGCTGCCTGTCGTGCTTGACTGTGGAATAAGTGTAAAGTCAATGGCGCCCAATGCATATATCAATCATATCTCTGTGTTTGCGGCTCTTTGGCATTGTGGGGGCGCATTTTGGCTAACGGGAAATGAAACACCCGCGTTGGGGGTTGGGCCCTGCTAGAATGAGAAATTGGTGAACGATGAGTTGTATCTTGGTCTACGACAGAAACGCGCTCTCAGGCAGGAATACGATGAACTTTGTGGATAAATTCGTCAAAGCCGCGCGGAAGAGGTATCTCCAAATGCATACATAGTTTACACTTGTGAGTCTGTTTGCTTAAGGGAAACCCAGTTTGGCAGAACCACCCCCCCCCCCCCCTTTTTCCCCCTCCCCAAATTTTGATTAAAGGAACTCTGGTGACATATATCACTCCATTCAGTGAAGATTTCCCGCTCCCAAATGCCCAACGGACAGGGTTCGTCCCCATATGACCTGTTTTTAGCGACGATATTCAGGGGACTGGATGCGTGACGCTGGCTGCTCTCCTCGCCGCGCTGCAGGTTAGCAAAGTCAAATTGACTGATGATGTCCCGGTCGTTTGTTTCGGTGCCGGGCCAGCAGGTACGGACATCGCAGCGCAAATCAGGGACGCAACAGCTGCGGAATCGAAAAAGTCGAAGGATGAGGCATTGAAGCAGATTTGGCAGTTTCCGGGGCCATTTTTTTTTTTTTTTTTTTTTTTTTTTTTTTTTTTTTTTTTTTTCCACAATCACCTATGGGCAAAAACAAATGCAAAAAAAAAGGCTGATCATATTCCAATCACAGGCGTATCGATAAAACAGGGCCTCCTCCTCACATCCCCAAGGCGATCAGCTAACACCGGCCCAGTCTACCTTCGCACGGGATGGCTAGGCCCCCGGAAGACGAAAGGCGGACTTGATTTGATCCCTATGCCGTCGTGAAGAGCGTCAAGCCGCATGTCCTAATTGGGACCTCGACGAAAGCTTCCGCCGTTCATCTGAACAGATAATCAGAGAGATGGCCAGGTATGTCGAGCGCACTGGATCGTCTTCCCTCTAAACAAGCCCACGCGTTTGACATAAAGGCGCAGCCGAGGGATGTCATGGGAATGAGTTGGAGCAGTGGTGGATTCGGGGGTGCAGATGCAGCGGGCGGAGAGTATATAGGCCGCTACTAAGCAGGCGGAGTTAACTAAGGGCTGCGATGACTAACAAAATTTCATGTTTAACCAGTGAGAAGGGATGATGGGATAAGGGGATGGGGCGGTCTGGGGACTCTCAAAAGTGTTAGGGTATGTTGGCGCTGGAATGTCTGGACAGCACATATTTCGTTGGCCCAGGTAGATAGAAGATGCAAGGGGAAGAAGAGGGTTTGATAATGTATATAAAGATTTTCAAGTTGCTTTACGCATTTCCATTTCCTCCCTGTCCAAGTTTGCCTCACTGGGGCGGAATAGGGGTTTAGTAGCAGAATGAAAACAAAAGGAACCGGACATACAAACACGGAACAGATGTATGTGTACGACATATGATATAGTTTATCACATTTCGTGCGCTAACGAAATTGAAGAAGGTAAGGTAGGTAGACTATACATCGATAAGAGAACAAATAGATGGGGAGAAACTTGTCCGAAAAGGAAAACATTATAACATATAACAGGTCCAGCCCTGCATCAATATGCCAAATGCAGCGATCAAAAGGCTTGAGAGGGAAAATCACAAAAATTTATTTCGGGGACAGGCATGGAAATCGGATAAAACATACATTTCAATGATACGGTCATTAAAAAAAAAACATCAAGCGCTCAAAAGGGCCACGCAATATGTATAGCCAGAGGGGGCGGCTCGGCTGCGTGCACCACCTACCTACCTCTTTTCAGGCTCTCTACTATCCCTTCTTCCTCCTTCATTCATAATATCCCTCCGTCCAAAAAAAAAGGTTAACGTCACCCACTCGCTTTCCGCCCCTCATACCGACCCCGTAAATCATCCACTTCCTTCTGCAACCGCGACAAATCCGCAAGGATATCAACGGCATGTGACTGCGACGGCGACTGCGGCGGTATACCGGGAGCCCCAGACTTTGTGTCTTCCGCGTTCTTCATATCTATCCTCGCAGCTGACGAATCCGTGGCTCCCAGAAAAACAGGCCGCGACTCATCTAGACTAGCTCTACTTCCTCCCCCTCGTCTGGGTGGAGGCGGCCGTGGTGGGCCGTGCGATGCCCATTTGTTGGATATTGGTGACGCGGTCTCCACGCTACGGAGGCTGGATTTGTCTGAGGCATCTTCTCGGGAATCGCTTCGCTGGTGCGATGATGTCTGCTGTCGTTCGTGGGGTAGCAATGGTGGTGTATCTGAAGAGGGGAAAGCTGATGATTCACGATCTTTTCGTCGGGACGGGGGAGGAGGCGGGGATTTTAATGGAGATGAGGTATGGATGGATGATGCTGTGGCTGAGTTCCTGATAGTGTTGGTAGGTGGCATGGAGTGTCTGGCGGAGTTATTTCTTGATAGTCTTGGATTGCTCGGTTTCATCTGGCTGCGACGTCTAGCTAAGGGTGGAGTAGGTGGGCGCTTCTGATGCGGTAGGGGAGATATGTTTTCTGAATCATGAGAAGTCTGCTCCGAGCTCACTAAAAGAAATGGCTTGTTGACGTCACCGCTTTCCTGCTCTGTGAACGATCGAGATGATAATGACGCGGGCGACGCGGAGCGATGATTTGGGGAAGTAAGAGAGGCCAATCCAACCAAAGGGGATGTCTGGCCAGTGCTGGGATTGATCAGTTTCCCGCGCCTTGTTTTCGGAGGCGGAGGTTTCGGCCTTTCCGCTGGTTTGGGCAAGGCGGCCGCCAGTTTCCGCCGCTCATCGTCCGCCTCCGAAGCCGACAGCTCATACGACGTCCGGGGTGTCTCTATCCGCGGCAGGTTTCGCGTCTCGAAAATAAGGTCCTTTGATGTAGATCCTGTATCTGCGTTCCTGCTGCTGTCGCTGATGGCTGGTCCCTGGGTGGGCTCAAAAGGCTGCCGCGCGGCGGAAACGGGCTCCTTTCCCGCTCCGCCTGTCTCTCCAGTCATAAGCATTCTCGTAAACGCGTCCACATCCATAGTCGCCCTCTTCCCCTTCATGGCTGAAGGTAGTGGAGTCGTTGAATCGCTCCGCGGTGTAGTTGGATCCTGTACATGTGGAAACACGGCCCGCTCCGCGCCGTACGGCTCTCTTGATCCACGCCGGCCACCTTCAAGCCCAAGTCCTATCACCCCATGCTTCCCTTCTGCAACATGTCGCCCCTGTCCAATATCCCCATAGTCTTCATCACCACTCCCGGAAGCATCCGGATTGAAGGGATCTCCCGCGGAGTGGTCCTCTGAGCCCGAGCTCTCCTCCACGGATGGAGGGGGCGGTGACCCACGGTGTGCACCGTGATGGAGGATCGACGCTCTATTACTGGATGGCGACGGATGATCGCCAGCACTGAGATGTAAGGAGGGCTGTATTGCGACGGGCGGAGAGGCGATGCGGACGGATTTCTGGCGGTGGGATGGCTGCGAAGGACCTAGTGGTGTAGCAAGCAGACATGATTCAAGTCAGCCAGCCCCCTGACAAAATGTTCTCCCCCCCCCCTTACTTATCAAATACGGGAACCTTCTTCTCGTTGTTTTACGAAAGATGGATAAAAAATAATTTGAGGCTGCACACCTTCGCCACGGGTCCTTGCTGCTGCGGGATCAATCGCTGCGCTGTGGTTTAATAAGTGATTGGCGTGGGCTGATATGGATGATGCCTGTTGCGGGGCAGTCTGGTCGTCGATGCTAGTAGTAGTAGTAGGCTTCTTCTTATGGCGGAAAGGATTTGATCCAGACATCGTAGGAGGATCGGTACAGTCTAAGCATGAGAGCAAAAAGGTTGCCCGGCGAGATGGGGAGAGCAACAGAACTCGAGTGCTGATGTGGTTGGTGGGCAGATGCGCGGTGTTTTATTTAGTTGGTGAAGGACAAGGGCGGGCGAGGAATTATTAGCCTGGACAGTGGTTTGCGGTTGGCTTAAATATATATAATAACGATGAGAGAAAGAACACCACCAACATATCTCTATTTAGCTATATATTGTTTTTATAGGTATAATAAACTACTACTCTGGATTCCGAGAGCAGAAAAAAAACTCGCCATAATTAAAATTAAAAAATAGCTGAACGAATGAATCGGCAATAATTGCGAAGCAGTGGCGGTAGTTGGTTAGCCTCAAAGCAACAACAAATATTTCTTACTCCCTTGCTTCGAATGATTTCCCCCAATCCGCCCCTTTGCGAGGATAAAAAAAAAAAAAAAGCCCCCAGGGACAAAATATAAAATGAAAATGAACAATTCTCAAATCCGCACAATCCATGCCATCCGTGACCCCTTTGCCCTTCCTTGGTGTCCCAGAAAACAATCTCAAATTTAGATAAACAGACAGAATCCGGCGCATACCGTACTGTACTGTACCTCTCAGTCCTATGATATGAGAAGACAAGGAGTACAAAAGGAAATAAAGCAAATAAACAAACCCCATTTCGCATGTATGTAAAAGTACAAAATATCAGAACTAAATCCGCCCAAACCAAACGCTGATTCCGCCGCTGCCCTTCCCCCCTTCCCCCCAATCCATCCGCTGGGGTTATACGCTTGTTGACCAGAGATGCCTTTCTTAGGTCTCTTTGTAGACATGCCACGGCTCATCCGGTCCAAAAAAGGCCTCGAGCAACCGACACCCACTCTCAGTGGGCTGGCTAAATGCAATCTTCGACTTGGGAATCTCCATGCCGTAGATGTAATTGCTCACCACGCAGTCGAGGAGGTCCATCGCGATGCCTTTCCGGCGCGATGAGGCGGACGTCCACACGCGCGAAATACCCACGACCGCGTGGTGCACCTCTTCGCTAGCCGTGATTGATGACGAGCCATTAGGCCGCTCGCCATTCATGCCCGTGCCTGTGCCTGTGCCTGTGCCTGTGCCTGTGCCTGTGCGGCCACCGCGACCAGGCCGCTTCACCAAATGCGACTCCCAAATCCGCTCCGTCAAGCAGAGCCCCACACACTTGCTATCCTTCATGTGCAAGAATACCTTGAACCGATCCACCTCTTCCTTCGCTCCATTCTTCCGGAGGCGCTTAGGCGGCTCGGTCTGGCTCCACAACACCGCCTCCTCAATATCCGGCGCAGAAAGCTCCTTGTTGACCACCTCCAGGACACGCATGGCCTGGCCCCGCGCGGAGGGGGAGCTCTTCCTGTCCACTATCACGACATAGCCCTCGTCGAATCTGGCAGCCTCGTAGACCCACCGGCACGCGTTTGCGCGCACAAATGCCTTGCCCAGGTCCACCCCGCTCGAGTTCATGTCATGGAATTTCTTGTGCAGCGCGACATCCTCCGCGTTCGAGGGGATATATTCCATCCCGCAGGTGGCGCATGTCTTGCGCACCTCCCCTCCCAGGTCGAGCTGCATCTGCTTGAGCGTGGGTTGTTGGGACTGTGTCTGTTGTCGATGTTGTTGTTGCTGTTTAGGTTTCTTTTTCGGCGGATCCATCGATGCGCGGACGCTGTTAAAGTTTACCTCTGTCAACGGAGTACCATTTGTGGGAGTGTTCGTGGCAGCGGCGCGTTTCCGCCTCAGAAATGCAAAAGTGGGTTTTCGTGTGTTAACCGGAGGTGGGGTGAGCTGTAATGGAGGCGAGGAAGGGGGTGTCGAGAGGTCATCGTCTAGGTCTTCCGAGAAGGCAGCGGTCGAGTTGCGACGCGACGGGCTGGACAAGATGGCAGCAGAAGATTCGCGTATGGCGCATTCGAGGTTGTTTTCGTCTTCAGCGGAGTCCTTTGGCGCGGTGTCCGCTTGAACACGTCTTTTCTTAGCTGCTGGACGTGAATCATCGTAGCAAACGCGCCGTATAGGGCGGCCGTAGGTGTGCATCATTACACCTCTGCGCAGGAGAAAAAAAATAAAAAATTGTTAGAGACATTCATGTTGTCATTTGTTAGGGAGGAGGGGACGCGCGCGTCGAGAGGCAAAGTGGTAGAGTGGTAGGTAGGCTAGAGATCAAAACAGGCAACTAGCTTGGTTTTTTGCACGTTGCTTACCTCTTGAACGAGTTGGTCACAGTATATGGCATGTCCCGCGCAGTGATCATGAAAAGCGGATTCATGGGGAGACCAGCAGTGGAAGTTTGGACATGAGTGTTACAGCGATTCTTGAGTGTTGTGGCTGTGTTGTTGTTATTGGAGGTGCTGTTGAGGTTGCTGAAGTTGGGAGAAATATAGGTGTCGGCCATCGTTTCAATAGAATAAATAAAACAAGTAAAATAAATATAGTTGGATAATAAAATAAATAAAATAGATAAATAAATAAATAAATGTCGCGATTAATTTGCTGCTTGATCAACGCGAATCCGCTAATCCGTTTTGGGGCATGGTAGTTAAGGGCTGGAGAGAGAGAGATTGGAGATTGCGGGCAAAATCCCTTGGTTTTGCTCGGTTTTTCACTCCAACCAACCACCACCACCACGACGTCGTCTTGGGTCTTGGTGTTGTTTACCGTACGTCTTCTGCTACTTGCTTCAGTGGCAAAACAGCTCGAAGGTGGGAGATACCGGAATCCTCAATGATGACTCTGTGCTTGCTCCCGTCCTCCCTCCAGGGTTGTTGCGTCCACCATAAGCACCAGCAAACGAACTCGAGGGAATAAATAATAAAATGAGAGAGAGAGAGAGAGAGAGAGAGAGAGAGAGAGAGAACAAAAAGTAGAAACCCGAATGACCGATATTTTGCTATTTATTAATGGTTAATGGCTATTGCCTGGCGGTACGCGATCGTTTTATCAGTTCCTCTCCTCTCCTCTCCTCTCCTCTCCTCTCCTCTCCTCTCTCTCCTTGGGTTGATGATTCCCAGAAAATCCTTCGTCTGGGGGAAACAAAGCCTGATGCAATCCGTGTGCGTGGAGCGAAGCTGCAGCCAGAGAGATGAGATGTATGTAGCATAGTAAATGTATGTACGCAGTAGCGTCTGTTGTATGGCGACCCGACCCGGTGGCCCATTATATTAGAGTAGTAGTAGTAGTGGTAGTTAAGTACTAAGTAGTAGTTAATAAGTAATAGTAACTAACTAAATAGTAACTAGTAGTTAGTAGTTGGTAGTTATTTATTTGACTATTCTTATTACTTGCGACGAAAGGGCCAATAAAACAGTTGAACTTGGTGCCAAAGAAGTTGATTGTGGGGCTGAACCTCCGACCCACTCTTCTTGTCTTCTTGGAACAATAAAATGTTCAACTTTATTAGTCATCTCCCTCTAAAACACACCCCCCCTATAGAACACATACGTTATTACTAATCCAGTCTTAAACACCCAGTTTCTTATTTAGTTATTATTAGTGTAGAGGTGTAGATTTATTAGAAAGAGAGGGGGGGGGGGGGGGGGGCAAACTGGAATTTATTAGTATTAGAATGAGCGAGAATGAGCTGGAGTTCCCAAGAAAATATATGAAAATTCAATACATGAACCCTCTCCTTAATAATAGACATGAAGAATGATGTGCTAGATTTGTCTAGTGTATGGAGTTTTAATGGGGGGGGGTGCTGCCAGGCCAGGGTTTGAGCAACCATGTTCAAACTATAATAATAATAATAATAATAATAATAATAATAAAGAAGTTGTAAACCCGCTACGACATGCTAGAATAAAGATGCTAGATATTATTTAGATGCTAGATGCTACATTATTATTACATACTTACATACTTACATTTCTTCTCATCAACCACCAGAAAGAAAAGCCCTGAATGGAAACCGTTTGACCCCCGCGGACATTGGGTGCCTCGCTAGCCAACCCTCGCCTTGACAGGCTGAGAGGAATTCCTCCTGTTTGGCGCCGTTTAAAAGTCTTTTTTTTTTCTAGCCAGTCACTCATTCCAGTCATTCCAGTCAACTAAAACTGCCAGCTAGCGGACCTCGCCGCCCTGGTTGCCACTCCACTCCACTCACCGATGATGAGCTATGAGCTTCATCCCATCCCTCCCGCCCGGCCGTTTTACGCAGCGTACGGAGTAGATTATTATTTTAGAGTAGAGTAGGGCTATTACGCATAGTACATACGGAGTACTCCGTACAGCCTTTCCCACTGGCTCCCACTCCCAGCCACCCTGATTTTCGTCCATCCATCCAGAGCCCATTCTTATTACTCTTCCCATCCATCCATCCAGCAGCGGAACCTGGATTTGCATGATGTTGCCAAGGGTCGGTCGGATCTCCGCTTCTCACCGGCCATCTGGCCCATCCAGCCAGCGCTTGGCAGCTTGTTCGAGTTTGTTGTCTTTTTTTTTTATTTTTTTTTATATATAATATATATATATATAGATAGATGTTCTCACGCCTTCCCTGCACACAGGGCTCATCAAGCCCGGATGTTCTTCTCTGCCCCATTTTCTTATTAAGGAGTTGACTACGGAATATATTCAATATTAATATTCACTCTTGCAATCAATCAATCTCCTTCTTGTCTCAGAGTATCTACCGTCAAAGAGGCCACATTCCATCTTGTTTCCCTGGGTCGCCAAAAGTTGGTTGGTTGCCTGGTTGGTTTGCGAATCCAAGCATCCTTTCATCCGTGTTGTTTGAATGTTTCCCAACCAATATCATACTGCGTATACTGCGTATGTAAAATCCAACCTCATATCGCTGGCTGGCTACCCTACCCTACCCTACCTACCCTAGAAGCTTTTCTTAGCGCTGATTGCTTTTTTTTTTTTTTTTTTTTTTGTTTTTCTCTTCTCCGTCCAAAAAAGTGCCATGCGATGATGGCTTTTGGGATGTTGACCTGGCCACAAACCTTTGATTGGCGTTCGAAAGAGCAACCCCCCAGCCTGCTATTGGGTTGTACATGTACATACATACAAGAGTGCTGGTCCCTTGTGGCGTGAACAGCTCCTCCTCGGGCGACGGACGTTGGGGAATAATAATAATATAATAACAATAAAGTGCAGCCTATTGTCGCTGCTCTGTTTTTGAACTTTCCTTAAACTACCCAACAAGGCTATTTATTGGCCGCGAGGCTCTCCACCTTGACTGGGGGGAGGGGAGGGGAGGGGAGAGAGGAGAGGGGCGGCCAATTGTTATGGCTCTCCGTCGTTTTTTTTTTTTTTTTTTAAACGCTTGATTCCGAGTTAATTAATGAATGGGGAAATAAAACCCGGAATTGACTCGGGCATCCCTTGTCCTGTGGATAGATGCAGCAGCAAAGCTGTTGTTGTTTTCCCCTCTTGACAACAGTTGAAGAGATGCGCAGCAAGCATATTTTGCCATCCCGAAAAATATATATATATATAAATACAAAGAAGCCCAACATGGGGCTTCAGCGACCCCCAGCCTAAGGTCCCTCTACTCACCGCGTATGACGAGAGTTGGTTTAAGGGTTCTGCTGAAACCCGATGCATATCGGGCCTCGGAAGTATTTGTTAACATTTTTTTTTTCTACATCTAGATGTTTGTTGACATGGACTGCTAAATATGTAACTCTGGGGGTTAGTTTCGATGAAGCAGATCTAAAAATTACCAAAAAAGGAAGAAAGGAAAACAGCATGGTTTCGTTCCCTCTAGATTTGTTCGAGAACAATCAGCCTTTTTTGAGGAAAGTCTTTTTTCTTTTTTTTCTTTTTTTTTTTTTTCTTTTTTTTTTTTTTTTCCTACTGATGGGCGCTTGGTAAATCAATATCTGCTTTACACTCCAGGGCCCATATATATCCAACCGCCCAAACGAAGCGCCCAGCCCTATCCATCGCAGAGTAGAGAGGGACATGAACTCGAATCCGAAAATCCGAAAATCCGACGAAGCTAATGCAGCACGGAAAATAACAGTGCTCAAAGGAAAGAAACGGGCTCCGTCCCTCCTCTCTACTACCTTGCTAACGTTCTGCAAGTCGGGCTCCCGGGGGCCTGCGACACACGCCGGGGGGGTGGTAAGGTGGAGGGGGAGGGGGAGGGGGAGGAAGTGCACTTCTAGACCTACCTTAGGTACCTACCTATCTCCTCCGGCGAACTGAAATGTGGCAGGCAGGGTTAGAGAGGTGAGTAAAACGCCCATTTCTCCCCGAAAAGCTGAAAAGACATTATACCTATCCCCTCTTCCTCTCCGCGCGTCGTCGTCGTTCATGTACTACATAACCATACCTACCCGACCGGCAACATTTCTTCGTTTTTGTTTTTTCTTCTTCCGAACATTATTACGAGGGAGGCAAGAGAGGAAGAGGGAAAGGGGAAGATAACCCACGTTTTTTTGTTTATACAAAGCCTCGGGAGGAGATAAAACGGGCAACGAAGGTCAGTGAAGAAGAGTGGAAAGGGATTGGAGAATATGTCCATGTTTTCCGGGAAATTTTGTTGTAATTTTTCACTGGACTATGTAATATATTATATATATATTATATATATATATATATATATAATATCCGATAGTGCTAAGCTGCTACATTCCTCACTGCTGCAACAATCTATCCCTCTCTTTTCCGAAATTAATCCTCTTCTGCTTTTTGATTGATTGATTGATTGCTTGATTGGCCTCTTAATCTCCCTCTTTGCCATCCTATTTAAAAAAACAAACATAAAAGAATATCCTTGTCCATTCCCGTATCCCGTCCGTCGACGGTGATTTTTTTTTTTCTTTCGTCACACACGGAAGTGCAGTAATATCTTCTTCCCAAGGCGGGGGGAGCTGGAGACCGTGTGACAAACCGCGGCTTGCTTGAGATACATATATACAATAATGCAATAATCTCTTCCAGGCATGGCATTGGTTTATTTTCTTTACTCGGTGCTTTTTTTTCATTGTTTCATCCATTACATTAATAATTATTTAATATTGCGCACACACACTTTGTTTTTTTTTTTTTTTTTTTTTTTTTTAAATTCCCACCCCGGGACCGGAACCAAGCAAGCCAGGCCATGCCATGATACAAGCGGGAACGGGAAGAAGGAAAGGAAGAGGAAGGGAAAGGGAAATGATAGGACAGGAAATGGTATTTCCCCCGCAAATCGTTATCGTCCAAAGTCGGGGATGGGATGAATGTACATACATACATAGCATTTATAGGTAGGTTATGTAAATGCAGGATAGACACATACATACATACATACATACATATCCTTCACCGCTCTTGAGCCACGAGATGAATAGTTCAGATGATGGACGTTTGAAAAACGATGAAATTTGCCCCTTCTACTTACCTCCTTTCTTTTTCTGTTTTCAACATCCTTGTACGATTTGTCCTAGCGCCCTGCCTGCCCTTCTAACAGAAAAAAGGAAGAAGAAGAAGAAGAATGTATATGCCGCAGAACGCTGACGGGAATATTTTATAATAATAATTCAAAAGCAAAAGGAAGGGCGGAATGCAATAAGAAGGCCAATGACGTTGCGACAAGCAAAACATCAGATGTATCTAGAGGATATTTTAAATAAGGGTTATTAAATAACTTATGGGTGGGTAGGTTGCTAGCATTATGAAAGGATAGAACGAAGAAGTAATCTCTCTATATATCTCTCTATATATTATAGAAAAACCAACTTTTCCGAGTAAAATGCCCTGTAACGTGACCTCACATGATATCACATGCATCCCATCAAATCCATTTGATGGGATTGAACAGTCAGCTCTGTAGCCTATACAGCTCTGATATTAATCTTCATTCTTTTCTTTACAGATGTTCTCTACTGTATTTACATTCTTTATACTCTTCTCTACATTCATTAATATACTCTATTTATTATAGAAAAATCAACTTTTTGATGTAAAAAACACTGTAATGTGACATCATGTATATTCTATCAAAAATATTTGAATGCTCTGACTTATACAGCTCAGATCAATCTTTAAATCTTCATTCTTTTTTTTATTCTGCTTCTTTCATACATTCTCTACAGTACTTACATTTCTTACTCTTCTCTATGTTCATTTTGTCAAATGCTCTGTAACATGATCTCATGTGATGTCATACACACTTCTTTGAATTCAGATAAGATTGAAGAGCTGACTCTGCAGTCTGCTCTGATTAATCTGATAATGATGATGAAGGTGATATAGAGTGAAAGAGAGTGGTTAGGGTGATAGGGGTGGTCGGGGTGGTAAGAGGGAGGTAGAGGGGTAGGAGTAGAGGGTGA